GCTCTCACCAGTATAAAGCTCAGGGCACGGCCGTCTGCTGACTTTAAAACACTCCGTTATGCTTGAGTGGCCTGGGGACCGAAATGCAAGTGGACGCAAGGGGGTGTTTCAGAGGCTTTAAAAAAAAACACGGCGCTCTGGAGAAAAGGCCCGGCTGGAGCCACATATGGGACAGCTGTAAAACATTGATGGGCTTTAATATAGCAAAGACGCTCATTTTACTGCTGCTGGATTCCCTGACCTAAAAAAGAGTCTGACCTCCTCCTGCGTAGTACAGGCCAGAGAGTGTGGTGTGGTGTGCTACATTAGGGACTTTTATTATGACATAGAAAAACTCATATAATAGCAGAATTGCAATCAATGTGAAAAAGCTACTCAGCAAATTTATTTTTGTTTCATATTCATTGTTTTGAGGACATAAGTCAGAATTTTGAGAAAATAAGTCAAGACTTCAAAATTAGTCAAGATTTTGAGGCACTATTCCACTATCTTCACACAATATTTCGAGATAGTAAGTCATTATTTTGAGAAAATATGTCAGTATATTTAGAGAAAATAAATCAAATTTTGACAAAATGTCATTATTTCCAGATAATATGTCAATATTCTGAGGTACCAAGTCAAAACTTGAAAAAAAGAGAACAGAATAAAAGTCAAGATTTTGAGAAAACAAATAATTATTTTGAGAAAATAAGTCTTTAAGAAAAGAAGCCATGATAATTTAAAATAACTTTTAAAAAAATAATTTAAAAACTCAAAGTCAATATTCTGAGATATAATAAATAAATGAAATAATAAATAAATAAAAAAAAATGTCTTTATTTTATTTTCTGACCATAAGTCAGAATTTAGAGTCATTACTTCAGGAAGTCAAGTTTTTGAGAAAATAAGTCATTATTTTGAAAAAGTAATTAAAAATTTGTAGAAAATAGTAATTATTTTTTAATATTGAGAAAATAAGTCATTATTTTGTTAAAAAAAAGTCAAGATAATAAGAAAGATAAGAAGAATAAGAAGTGAAAAAAAGCCAAATTTAGTAAAAGGAAAATAAAAAACCATTACTTTCAGAAAATAAGTCAATTTTTTTTGAGAAAGTCACTATTTTACAACAGTAGAAAAATTTGAAAAAAATTAGTCTACTTTTGGAGAATCAGTCAACAATCCAAGAAAATAAGTCAATGTTTTGAGATTTTTTTAAAATTATTGTTTTATTTTGCTAAGCTAAGTCAATGTTTTGAGAAAAACAGACACTGGCTCACACAGCTTTTCAAAATGTTTTTTAAAACAAATCTCTTTGAAGGTTTCTCAGAACCTGACCATAATAAAGCCTAATCAGGTTTATTTAGAGTGTGAGATATCTGTGCCAATACTGGTGACAGTGCTAGTTTGTGAATAAATATAAAGGCCACGCCCACTTTATCCCCTTGTTGTGGCGTCACTAATCAGCACTCAAACCTTTCAGGTGTTTAAGCCAACTTTGGACCGAAAGAGCTTCAATATGAGCTTTTAGCAACAGTCAAATCAGTGTTTAGACAGAAGCTGCTCTTCATATCGAGAAGATCTTCTGATGAAGACGAAGATGAGAAGATAAACACCGAAAAATTATCAGCTGATTGAACAGTAACTCTGACTTGTGATGGTTGTGTGGATTTCAGAGGTCTGTCGTTCTCATGAAGCAGCAGTTTTACTATCTGCTGAAATACTGCGCGTTCTCTCCAGCGCGAGCGATAAGCTCAGACTGCTCAGACTGTCAGAGTTAAGTGCTCAGAAATAAGTAAGTAAATAAATAAATGAGTGACTGAGAGAGTGAGAGAGAGTGAGAGAGTGAGAGAGAGTAAGTGAGTGAGAGAGAGTGAGTGAGAGAGTGAGTGAGTGAGAGAGAGAGTAAGTGAGAGAGTGAGAGAGAGTGAGTGAGTGAGTGAGTGAGTGAGAGAGAGTAAGTGAGTGAGAGAGAGTGAGTGAAAGAGTGAGTAAATGAGAGAGTGAGTGAGTGAGAGAGAGAGAGTAAGTGAGAGAGTGAGTGAGAGAGAGTGAGTGAGGAGAGTGAGTGAGTGAGTAAGTGAGAGTGTGAGTAAGTTAGGGAGTGAGTAGAGAGTGAGAGTGAGTGAGAGAGAGTGAGTGAGAGAGAGAGAGTGAGAGAGAGAGTGAGTGAGTGAGGGCAGCAGCGCTGCGGCGCTGGCGGAGCGTCAGCAGACTGACACCTTATCTGGATGGTGTGTGTGATGGAGCTCAGAGCTGCTGTGATACTGAGCTGCTCCTTATCTGCTCTCTGACTGTCTGTACTGTATCAGCTGATCTGCTGCTGTCGCTGCTCTTCAGTTCTCACACTGGCGGTTCTAATAAACCCACCGACGGTCGTCGGTACAGTAACGACTCATTAATCACGTCCCGCAGCTCACGGGTAATGGGCTGCTTGTTAGACGTCCTCATGATTGACATTAGCACATTTGGAGGCTTCTGACTGTTTAACTCTCTTTATTTCTGTCTCTCTCATTTTCTCTCTCCCTCTTTCTCTCTCTCTCTCTCTGTATCTCAACTTTACTCTCTCTCTATTTTACCCTCTCTTATTCTCTCTCTCTCACTCTCTCACTGTCTTTCTCTCACTATTTTACCCTCTCTCTATCTCTCCCTCTCTCTTATCTCTATTTTACCCTGTTATTCTCTCCCTCTCTCTCTTTTATCTCTATCTCTCTATCTCTCTATTTTACTCTCTCTCTCTCTCACTTACTTTTTTACTCTCTCTATTTCTCTCCCTGTCATTCTCTCTCTACCTTTTATTTTACCTCTCTATCTCTCTCTTATCCTCTCTCTCTCGCTATGTCTTTTGGTCTCTCTCTCGCTTGCTTTTTTACCCTCTTTCTCGCTCTCTCTCTATTTTACTTTCTCTCTTTCCCACTTTTTTCTATTTCTCTCTCTCTCTCTCTCCCTTTCTCTATTTTACTTTCTCTCTTTCCACTTTTTTCTATTTCTCTCTCTCTCTGTCTTTCTCTATTTTACCCCCCCCTCTCTATTTTACTCTCTCTCACTTTTTTACCCTCTCTCTTTATTTTACTCCTCTCTCTCTTTCACTTTTTTCTATTTCTCTCTCTCACTCTCTCTTTCTATTTTACCCCTCTCTCTCTATCTCTCTCTTATTCTCTTTTTCTCTCTCTCTTTACCCCCTCTCTCCCTAATTTACCCCTCTGTGTGTTTACCCCTTCTCTCTCATACTCACTTTTCTTTCTCTCTATTCTACCCCTTTTCTTTTTTTACTCTCTCTCTTGTCTCTCTTTCTCTCTATTTTACTCTCTCTTTCTGTGTGTGTTTTTCTATCTCTCCACCTTTCACCTCTCTTTCTCTCACTCCCCTCTTGCCCTCTCCCTCTCCCTCTCCTCCCTCTCCTCTCTCTCTCTCTCTCTCTCTCTCTCTCTCTCTCTCTCTCTCCCCACCTCCTCCGTCAGGTTTCCTCCTCCCTCTCTAAAAGGTCATTGATCTAATCAGCGCTCTCGTTCAGAGCCGCTATCAGACGTCCTTCACTCTGATGGCTGTGGTGATCATTGATAATTGATATTTGATAATTGATAATTGATAACTGGGCGTGCCGGGGCTGGTTTCAGACTCTCGGCCTGTTCTGATCTGTAGTCAGTGAGGAGTTTATTAAATAAAGATGCTCTGCCGATAAGGCAGAGCAGCAATAGGGAGCTTTATTCCTGAAAATGTTGATGTGGGAATATCAGGAGGGAATTCCATTAAGGGCTATGAAATATGCAGCGCGTGACTGGACCATATTGTCGTCTATAAATAGACTCCGGCAGCTTATCGGGATTTCAGGAGAAAACTCCCTCAGCGCTGCGTCCTCAGAAAGCAGCAGCTCTGAGGTTCTAATGTGCCGTCTGCCTGTAGAAGTTTGGGTTCTAATGATGGGACACATTTAGAACTGCAAACCATCCAACAGTGCACTTTTAGTGATAACGAGACAGGTTTAGTTTCCTCCTCTCACCCCAAATACAGCCAGTGTTTTAAATCATGTTATGACGTGGAGTTCTCATTATTTTGGCAGATAATTTTGCTTATTTTAAGAAATGTGCTTGAAATAAAATGATCTGTCACTGTATTTAGATAATTTTACTCAATAAAATTACTTTAAAAAACATCCAGTAATCATATAATACCTGTACAACCACTTCAGGATGACAGGTATTGGATATTTAGGCCAGGCTTAAGATCATTTCTATTGTTAAGATAATTTTTTGACCAGCACCCAAAACACAACCAATGCTATTTTTCGGTCAGCTTATTAACTCCCATTGCTGCTGACCAGTAAACCAGCATCCAAAACACTGGGTTTGCTGGTAACCAGCCATACAGCTTTATGCTGGTTTTTCTAGCAAAGGATGGCTTGAAATAATGACTTTCTGACTCCGTATGAGATGTTGTTGTCTATAAAATGCTAAAAACAGGAAGCCAGAGGTCTGAAATGTGTTCAGTTTTGCAGTCTGCGTGATGCTGATTGGTTTCCAGTGCAAAACCAGAAAAAGGAGCAAACACCAAGCGCGTCTTGGCTGATCAGTTATGCCTGGCATGAGGGGGAGAATTGAGAAAATTAGATTTTTCCACCAAACTCAACTCTCCCACTTCTACTCTTCTTCTCTCCTTTGCTAACCGAGCCTTATCTCCTCTCTTCTCCTCTCTTATTTCCTACAGACTATGAAGTGCCCGAAGGAAACGATGACCTGACATGGACTACACTTACAGAATCTCGCAGGAAGCAACATATTTTCCTCAAACGGCGGCTTACAGATGTGCAAGGCAGCCCAGTCGGAGCGTATGATGAGTAAATGAGCGAAGTTCACCAAGCCTGAGACAGCTTGTTGGCTATATTAGTTAGCAAGCTGCATTAGCTAACACAGCTTTAGCTCTAGCATGCTAACGCAGACGCCCACCTCTCTGTGTTTTTAAATCCAGCTTGGCTCTCCACTCAATCTTCCCTCCTTATCGTCCATATCGTCCAGTTTTGTGTTCTCAGCCATGCAGCTGTTGCTGCTGTTAGCCGTGCGCTGTCTCTGGCTGAGCTGGGTCTGCGCCATGCAGCACTACCCGGCCTCATGGGGGCACTACGACGTGTGTAAGTCGCAGGTTTACACGGAGGACAGATTGGCCTGGCATTACATGGCCTGCCAGCCTGAGGCCACCGACATGACTAAATACCTGAGAGTGAGCCTGGACCCCCCCAACATCACCTGTGGAGACCCTCCGGAGATGTACTGCGCTCTGGTAAGACTTCTCTCTTCATGCACAGTTGTTTATTTTAATACAATAGGAACGAATCAATTAGCAAAATGCTGTTTAGCACCTCAGCGAAGGACTTGCCAAGCTCAGATTTGTGTTAAACAACAATGTTAGAGAGAGTTTGGTGGAAAATCAGATTAACACAGTTTTTCACCTCCTTTACTCTGCATGCAGTTGATTAGCCAAGTCATATTTAGCATTTAAAGTTTGCTTATTTAGTTTTAGCACTGGAGCTACAAGGCTAATGTAGCTAACATGTAATGGAAGCTTATTAGCATTGTCAATTAGCATTGTCAGTTCAAACTGCATGTTCTCTCAAATAGACTTTGTGGTTTCTGCTTCATGTTTTATCAATTAGTTCTGATACTGTTTGGACCGAAGTTCAGCCTTATGGAAAAGTTTGTTGTTGCTGATTTTCTTATTGCAAATAAGCTAAAACCTCCTCTAGTCCAGGGGCTTCAACCCAAATGTTAAGAAGAGCAATTTTGTCCTTTCAACAAAAATGTAACCAACTTGGGAGCCACAACATGTAATGTCCATTTTACCATCTTGGCTGTAAATGTGTCTCAGTGTGTGCTAAAGTACTAGTATAGGATAAAAAATACAATATAAACGAAAACACAGACTTAGCTCAGCTGCTTTTCTCGCATCTCCAGCAGGAAACTTTTCCTCAAAAGTAGAACAGTTTCTTGTAAAATGTCTCTCAGTGTTCAACTTTCTGTGAGGATGGAGTCGCTTCTCATTTTCCAGCTTCTTGTTCGAATTTTCCCGTTCCACCTTAAATTAATGTAGAGTGTAGCTGGTGCAGGATTTAAGGTGGAACGGGAAAACGTATCAGGAAACCAGCTGGAGTGATTATAAACACAAATACGTCTGTGCTGATCTTCAGGGTTAAAGGGTGAATTAGCAGTTCTACATTAACTCCAGAGTTTAAGATCATTTATTGTTAAACTGTGTTGAACGATCAGCAGAGCTTTATTTTACTGTAAAGGAGGATTATTTTATTTTTACCTACTAATCTAATTCAGCTGTGGAGCCACAACAGGGCAGTAAAAGAGCCGCATGCAACTCCGGAGCCACATGTTGCTGACCCCTGGTCTAGGGGGAACACATCTCTGCACATTTTACTTGCACAATTTCTATTTATTGGCTGAATGTAACATTTTAATAAAATAACACCATAAATATGGCGAATTAATGGATTTTTTTTCCCCTAATTTATTACGTTCAACAAGTAGTTTTGTAAAAGAGCTATTTGCAATTAGAAAATGAATTAATGATGTCCTCTGATGAGGAGTGCCTAGACTTTTGCATTAGACTGCATTAATTTTGCGTAATAAAAATCATTTAGTCAGAATTTTGCCCATTCTTTTGTCAATGATTTGTTTTTTGTTTTTTTTAAAGATAAATGTATGTCGTACACAGTAATCTATGCATGCAGTTAGCACCATGCTAATTGGTGTACATGGTAGCTAATTAGCCTCATAGCTCCAGAGCTAAAACTAGAGAAGCAAACATGTCTTGGCTGATTGATGACATCTGAAGTAAGGGGGGTAGATATTGGGTATATATGGTTTTTAACCTACAACCACATTACATACATGACAAAATCATGCTAATAGTTTATGCATTCATCACTGACAGCATCTACATATATATTATATAAGTTGGATTTGTTTTTTTTTACAGTGAAACCAAGCCTTGCACAATGTTTTGTCAATTAAATGTAATATTTTCCTTTTCCCTTAAGACTGAGGGGCTGCAATTGAATTTATTTGCAGAAAAACTGAACAGAATCACCCTGAATCATTTTCACTCCAGCAAATTGTTCATGAACTTCACCCACACCTTCAGCCTGGCGTCTTCTTCGGAAAGCCCTACAGCGCCTGTAAGGTTTTGTGTTGTGTTTCGTAGAATTTCGCTTCCTCTCGCTTTTTCAACTCACTTTTTGATCCATTGTCATTTTCGTTCACTCGTTGTTGGACGTGATCAAATAACGGCGCGTCTCAGACGGCACGGTTTGAATTATGAATGTCAACTCAGATTACACGATCCGAGAGCACGGAGCTCTCTCTCTGAAGGAAAGCACACATAAGCCTCCCCTCTCCATTAGGGATTCACTGTAGAAACTTCATGCTCTCAGATTTCCACAGCGCTTTAGATAAAGTGAACTGCAGCATTCAGACCCGCGCTTATCTCCGCAGTCAAATTACAGCAGCTCTCTGGCCTGCAGTTAAAATGGAGAGTGACAGATCTCCTGATATTTGGAAAAGGCGAATTATTGAATATGTTTGTAGGTAATGTGTTTCTTTCATGAGCAGCATTATTCAGCCGAGCTCCGCGCTCAGAAATGGACCTTTGATGATAAACTGTCATATTCGGTAAGCGAATGCGATGGGTTTCTCTACGGCGTATCAGTTTACCAAGCAGGAATAATCCTTTTAAAATATCCACCCTAGAATGAACTCGGTGCGCAGTACATTTCAGCTCAGTGAAAGGGGAATTCCACCCAATTTTTCAAAATATCTGCAAAATTCAATGCCTGGGACTTCTTTACAGTGGTGGTGATAGGAACCAGGAGTCTACAACACAAATGTAGACATTTTATTTACTCTCCAGAACCACCAGTGAACCTACACGAGTCTTCTGAGTTTATATGGAATGTTGATGATGGAAAATAGTGGAAAATCTGAAATAATAAGTTTCCTTTGGGGACTATTTTGCCTCACAGCGCCCTGCATGTATCCCTCCACCATGAATGGAGTTTAGGTTCTCTAAACTATCATAAAACAGTGTCTCAGTCATCAGGCAGTGAATTCATAACCATTTCATGTAGGAACTTTCTGTGAGGGAGCTTTTAGAGGTGGACGTCTGGTTCCTATCACCACCACTGTGAACAGTTCTGACTCGGTAAGTTTCTCTAGAACAGAGCGTTTCACACCAAACCACTCTGAATGACTCTGAACCGCTCTGTTTACATTTTTTATTCATGCAGAAATTTTAAAAAATTGGTAGAATTCTACTTTAATGGACTTTATCATAGATAATAGATATGGTTTGTAAATAATGTATCATTTATGGAGACTGAAGCCCATTTAGGACACATTTATTTATATATATATATATATATATATATATATATATATATATATATATGTATGTATATATTTATATATAAATAAACACACCTATTCGGCCTACAGCAGTTTAGCCCTGCCCGTTCACGCTGAAGTTATATGGAGTGTTTCAGCCCGGGCTGCTTTTTTAATTAAGCAGGCAGCCAGAACAGAGCTTAGACGTATATCAGTCTTAAGGCACAGTACAGCCTCTAATAAAGAGAGGCTACACTGTGTCTCCTCAGATCTACCTAAAAAAATCACTTCATGTGGTAACAAGCAATTGACCTAGTTTTGTCCAACTGAAAAAACTATGTGATTGACAGGATCGTTCATTCAAAGTATTTATTTAGGTTGAATAAACTAATAAATTTACTTGTTACCACATGAAGTAATTTTTTTAGGTAGATCTGACAAGTTTTTTTTTACAGTGTAAAATTGGCCATGTGAAAGTAAATGTTCAAGTAACAGTTTAGTGGATCTGTACTGTTTATGTTTTCATGCTAAATGCAAATACTTTAATTCTACTCGTGTATTAGTGGAGGTAAGTGAGGTACTTTCTCCTCAGTCCTGTTTTAGTCATTAACGTTGAGTTCCTAATTCTCTGTTTCGGGTCTGGTTTCATTCTGTTGTGTTGGTTCAGCTCCTGCTCTGCTTTACTCTCTCTCACACCTCCCGCTTTGGAGATTTAGCGCTTTATTTTTAGACCAAAAAGATCCAAAAACAGGAGAAGAGCCATAGAAACTTCACCTCCTTCTTAATTGCCAGTGTCTTATTTGAATTTTCCATTCCACCTCAAATGGTGCAGCTAGTCCAGGGCTCGGCAACATGTGGCTCTGTTACTGTCCTGCTGTATTTGCATGAAATAGTTCTTCAGATTGATGGAGAATGTGCTGCATATGGTTCTATATAGAATCAAGAAGGGTTCCTGCAGCAAGCTTGACATCATGACGATAGCAGAACCCTTTTTGGAGCTACATAAAACCATTGTATAATACCATATACACCACGTTCTCCATCAATCCAAAGAACCACTTCACCATGCAAACAACCATTTAATCACGTAATTGGTTCATGGTTCTATATAGAATTTTTTACTGTATAGAACTTTCTTTACTAAGGAACCCTTGAAGAACTATTTTAAAGAGCGTATGTTAGTGAGTCTAGCTGAAGCCTGGACTGCCAAAAATCACACACTCTTCGCAAAGGGTTCTTCAAGGGCTCTTCAGTAAAGAAAATGGTATTATATAGAACCATTAACACTCAAAGAACCCTTTGCATCATGAAAGATTCAGATTGATGGAGAATGTGTTGTAAATGGTTCCATGTAGCACCTAAAAGGGATCTTTAATTGTTATGATGTCAAGCTTGTAACAATAGAAGTACCCTTTTTGGTGCTATATAGAACTCTTTTCAAAAAAGGTTCTATACAGAACCATCTACATCTACATCTCAATCTGAAGAACCCTTTTATGAAAAATGCAAAAAACTCTTTAATCATGCAAAGGGTTATCTAAGTGTTCATGGCTCTATATAGAACCGTTGTCCTCACTAAAGAACCCTTGGAGAACCATCTTTTGCTTCTGCTGCTGTCATTGTTTCACTGCTACTGTAGTGTGAGTGTAGGATCAGAACTAAAAACAACAGAAACACACGCAGCTCTCAGTTCATGTGGAAACGTTGGTGCTATTGATAGCAAACAGAGTCAGGCTCAGGTTGGTGACGTCATACAGCTAAAGGACTTAGCACGTCCCAGAGAGACACTCGGAGAGGCTTCTATATTTATAATATATCATCCAAACAGCCTGTAAACACCTCCATAATTTAACTAACGCAGCATATGGAGGTTGAGGAGTGGAGAAAGTGGAG